AAAGAAGTTGGATCTAAAAAAGAAACACCGTCATCTTTTTCTTTTCATAGGCACATTAGGTGTTCTCTTATACCTCTATTTTCTAGTCATTTCATTGTGCTTGCCATTCTCAGCCATGTTTCAACTCTACCATCCATAGGAAGCAGAGGATACATGGTGGCTCAGAGGTGAAGATGCTGGGTTTGTCCCAAATGCCATGCGACTAGGGTGGCTCCCTTCCTTGCCCCAGCTCCTGCCAACCTAGCAGTGTGAAAGCATGCATATGCGAGTAGATAAATAGGTACCACTTTCGGTGGGAAGGTAACAGCACTACATGACATCATTCTGGCCACATGACTGTGGAAATGTCTTTAGACAGCCCTGGCCCAATGGCCTGGAAACGGAGATGAGCACCGTGTCAACCTTCAACCGATTCTGGCTGCAGCACATCTTCACTTCATTTTTGGTTGCCACAGTAACGGGAGTTGGGGGAGATATATTCTTCTAGTTTAGTCATAACAATAACTTTCCTGTGGGAACCAAGGTCAAGTTACCTAAGTTTTGGTGGGCTGGAGCTTCCGTTAGAAAGCCCGCCAAAATAGTTAATTGGGGATTATGATTTATGACATATTGCAGGGGTGGGAAGTTCAACTTGTTACTTTGTAACCCTGGGGGGGGGAACTTTCAGTCTTGGTTTCACCTTTGTTTGTGCTGATACTATGTAGCCATTAAATGTGTTCTTTGAGGAAAGCATTTGCCTCAGAGTTCTCATTTCTACTGGTCTCATCTATCGGAACCACGACACACTGCCCCTTATAGTCAGCAATGACTAGCGGAGTAAAATTCGCAGGGACACTCTTAACTTATAGGAAACAGTTCTGCGCTCTCCATCTCTCAGATACTCCTGATACAAAAGTACTCTTTGTACTTGGCTGTGCCCTATCTGGTTACATTCCTCTTTTCCTTCAAATTTCACCATGAAGGTTCCTAAAAAGCAAGTAATAGATTGAGCGTTCATAAAGTGGAAGGCACAGGAAGGCTCTGCCAGAGCGGGAGATTTCAGGACCTTGGAGAGCTCACAGAACTATACGGCATTCACTCTTACAAGAAATGTTATTCTACCACTTCTTTGTGGCCAACGTAGGATCTAAAAATTCTAACATGACTAGGCAACCCTTCAGGTCTACCACTGCTTTCAACTGACTAGATCAGCGGTTCTCAACCTATGGGTCGCGACCCCATTTGGGGTCGATCGACCATTTCACGGGGGTCGCCAAGCAAGGCTGTTCGCCATTTTTCCCCCTTTTCCGGCGGGTGCCTTACCTCCTTTGGGCTGGGCCAGCTGGTGGTCGGCTTGCTCCGTCTCTGCCGCTTGCCAGCTATGCCTCGGCCGGCGCAGGGGGCAGAACCACGCATGCGCAGCGCTCCCGGGCAGGGAAAGTCCTCGACTTACGACCGGTTGGGTAGTCCTCGACTTACGACCGGTTTAGTCCTCGACTTACGACCGGTTTAGTCCTCAACTTACGACCAGTTTAGTCCTCAACTTACGACCGGTTGGGGGTCGCGGCATTAAAAAGGTTGAGAACCACTGGACTAGATTTAAGGAATGTGTGATTTTTGGGAAGCCGTTGAAAATAAGCAGAAAATTGGTATGTCAAAAAAATAAAACGAAAACGAAAACAAATCAAAGCTAGCTGATTTATACCGTTCCTCTGAATGAAGACGCATTCCCTTCAAATCCATTGGGACTCTGGTACAATAAATATATTTTTTTCCACAGCCATTTTTCTTTTCTTGTTTTCTGCCTATTTGGTTGGCTGCTCCTTTTCTGAAGCTGTGCGTATTTTACTATGACTGCAGAGGCTATGCAGATGTTAGCCGTGGAGTCCTTCAGATAATAGAATGGCTAGGTTCTACAGCTGGAATAGTGTACAATTGCTTCTGAAAGGTTCCCCTGCATGGGGATTACCATTTGTCCCTTGCTGGCTAATGACCCTGTCCGACACAACAGACCCTTTTGAAACTCATCACCGCTTTTGCCTTAATGCTCTCTGCTTCGTTAACAAAGGTCACCACATCCAAGCAAGTACTGCTGCTGCATTTGCTTGCCTTCATTCTGTATTATTCCTGCATCACCTTAACTAGGAATAAGGAGGCCACCAAAGAATTAGCTTCAGACATTGACACTAAGGTGACGAATAACAAGCATGGAAAAGGCAAGGCCATGGGAAGCAAGTGCATCATAGGGATGCTTAAAGTACAGCTGAGAATAAATTAGAAGGGTAAGTAATGGCAGGTAGAGAACGGAAAGCAACGAGTAGGCAGGAATGACATATAAAGAGGAAAATTTATAGTAATTGAATCACTTGGAAAACACTCATGGAAATTCCAAAAATAGCAGCTAATGATCTTATCTACTGAATGGTGAATGATTAATTTCTAGTTACGAAGCAATTATGTTGTCTTTTCACTGTGCTGTGCTGAGATCTACAGTAAGCCCACGGTGGGTTTGACAATCAGTGGAGAGAAACGAATATTGGATTAATAGCTTCAGAGGAAAGAAGAAACAAACTTCATCACTGGTTGGATCCAAGATCTTGTTTTTTTCCCCCTTTTTCTGGCATACATGCAGCTGACTCAACAGGTCCTCAAAAGTGTGTGTGTGCATTTGGGTGTGTATAGATATAGGGACAGTACAAAAGCAATTGTGTTTTACACAAAGATTCATTTTAGGTACACCTAGAACCCTCTACATCACGTATGTCGAACTGCCAGCCCACTGTGCCCATCCCATTGCCGGCAATGGGAAAAAGTCGTGATACGTCGCGCAATGTCATGTGACATCACGAATCTGATATGCCTGCTCTACATCTAAAGCATATGAAGAGAGCTCAACCACATAGATTTTTCCCCCCAATTGAATTATAACCCTCTCATGATATACAGGTATCCTTGACTTACAGCCACAATTGAGCCCAAAATTTCCATTGCTAAGTGAAACATTTGTGAAGTTTTGCCCCATTTTATCACCTTTCTTGTCACCGTTGTTAAGTGAATCACTGCAGATGTGAAGTTAGTAACGTGATTGTGAAGTGAATCTGGCTTCCCCTTTCACATTGCTTATCAGAAGGTTGAAAAAAGGGGATCGCATGACTCCAGGGACACTGCAGCTGTCGTAAATATGAGTCAGTTGCCAAGCGTCTGAATTTTGATCACATGACCGTGGGGATGCCGCAATGGTTGTGTGAAAAACAGTCATACGTCACTTTTTTCAGCGCCGTTGTAACTTTGAACGGTCACTAAATGAACTGTTATAAGTCAAGGACTACCTATATATGAAGTATAGCTGGGAGCATCGGCATGAGGAGGAAGCAATTCCCATAACACAAGGAAAAGATATACTGGAACTCGGATGATCAGGTTAAGAAATCATCTGTTAATACTTGAAAAATGTTCTTCTGCATACATTGCTATTGTATTAGTTAATTTCACCAATGCCAAACCATTTGTTTCCAAGAGCTAGCTCACGGGTCGGCAACCCACGGCTCCAGAGCCGCATGTGGCTCTTTGAGCCTTCTCCTGTGGCTCCCAGCCTCCTCCGCCATTTGCAGAGAGAGAGACAGAGAGAGGCACTTTCACTTTCCTTCCCTCTCTCTCTCTCTCTCTCTCTCTCTCTCTCTCTCTCTCTCTCTCTCTCTC